CTCCCCCCCCCACACACACACACACACACACACACACACACACACACACACACACACACACACACACACACCCCCCCCTTGGATTATTCATATTCTAAGGAAGGAGCTCCTTATACTGTATGCAAACATATGCCAACTATTTTGAGCAAAAGACAATTAATGTTGGGATAAATAAGAACAGAATACACGAAATTGAATACAAAAATCTAAACATTCTGTATAAAACAAACAATGTTTTAATTTACAGCTCTATTAGAGAAACTCTGAGCTTTAATTTTAGTACCAAAGCCAAATAGCTCAGTATCCAGAGCGAGCGGGTCAAAGATTTTACACAACTTGTTTCTTTGGTTAGCAGTCTTTGGATGAAAACTTGTATTTCAAGGTAGGATATAGTACTCCCTTAATTCAAGATGATCAAGACTTTCTTTTTCCTTAAATGTTAAACAGTACAATATTGAGGAATGAAGTTAAGTATCAACAAAATGCCATCCTATTAAGTGGGAGAGAATAAACACCTGAAGAGGAATTTTATTTTACTCTTCAAGAACAACTGGATGGAGGTTATGTCAAGGGTGTATCAATTGTTCTCCAGATTTCAAAGGAAAAGCTGTGGTCAAAGGAATTGATTTTTTCTTCCAGAAATCAGATAACAGGCACTTATCAAAGCTTTAAATAGGTTGGAAATGGTCAAAAATGAGAGATCCAAGCAACGTAAGCCAGGAAAAGGACAAGAGGAGGAATCCATCAATAAAATAGGAGAAAAGTTTTAAATAAAATAATGTGAACTTTGCAACTTGCAGTTTTGTAAAGACCAAAGCTAATTATTTGATAAAATTATATGGTCTGCCAACAGCAAAAAGCTATAAGATATCCAGCTTCTACAGGAGAAAAAGACAGTACAAGCCAGCAAGACTTTAGAAAGAAGGCTGATATGGTCTTATTTTAGATTTGCTCTTTGGAGGCACTGCCTAGTTCTATTTTAAATTAACTTTGTAGCAAACATTAAAAAACAATCATGTTCAAGGTACATTAGTTGTTGGCATTCATAGCACCAAAGAAGCAATAATAGTTTTAGGCGTATTACTTAGGTAAATTAAATTGCAAACCTGTTGACTTCCCTCTTCATGTCCCCCAAAAAACTCCAGTATTAGAAACTATACAAGCAAGTCAAGATAGGAGGGAAGATTGTTCAGTCTATATATATGAGATGCACTATTTTTTCCACATTTAACTCACTGTGGCCCACATCTGGGGACTGCCCTATTCATCTAAATGGAGGTACTGAATAACTAAAGTTAAAAGAGAGAGAGAGAGAGAGAGAGAGGGTGTGGGTGGGTGGGGGTGTGTGTGTAAATGCTTGGAGACTCATAGCTTAATTCAAATACAACACTAGTTTTCAGTGTCTAGAAATCTTTACCTTTCATGCTGAAAAAGTTTGGACTTAAATCTACCATATCAGCTCATCTTAACAAACTGGAGCCAATCCATTTTGTCCATTTTAAATCCATGTAATCAAATCTCAAAACCTTTGCGGAGCCTCAAAGTTAATGGTCTCCAAAGTCATAAGAGTTATCCTACACAGTCACTGATCTTGCTGTGGACTCCATCTTTTGCAGTCCCAAAAGATACAAGGATATGTCTCCTGTATATGAAAAGTCCCTTCTCGGGCAAAAATGAGGTGCCTTGGATGGGCTTGTTCTATTCTGCCTATCCTAAGCCTGTTTGAACAGCATAATGCAAAAGGAACTAAAGCTGCAAGGAGAAAAAGTTGTTAATATAACACAAAATTAAAATGCCAAGACCACATTGTGTGGGCTACATAAGTTGTGGAAATTTCTAGAACTAAATACAGTGCTCAGAATGGTCACATGTTCACCTGCCACTAATCATACACTCGTGTTCCCCTACACGAATTTAGGGAGAATTAATATGTGGGAGGAGCAAAAGCCCTTGGTGCACAGACTGGTGCACAGAGCTGGAGACTCAGCGCACAGAATGGTGCGTGGAGACTCCAGATGCGGATGGGAGCACAGCAGCTGCATGAGGCAGCGGAGGTCCCCAACCCTGTACAAGGTAGGAGCTGGGCCATCAGTGCACAGAGAAGTACACAGGGCCCTAGAGCTGACAGATGTTGGGGCTGCAGCACAATTTTTTCCCCCTGCCCAAGGCAGGTACTCCTTTGGTGCACGGGGTGGTACACAGGGCAGAGAGCAGGTCAACCAGCCAGAAGAGCTGCATGAAGCAGCTGGAGCCTTCTTGCTGGAAGTGGCATGGGTCGACCATCCCAGCGAGGGCAGGGAGGGTTTGCCCCAGTACACCACTGGAGACAAGCTCAACCCTTTTAAAGCTGTGAACTCATGAGTTACCTGGAAAGGGGATTTGCATGGAGAAGGGGCCTTCCTCACTGTGAGGGAACAAGGGGAAGACCCTGAGTGGGGACAATTCGCCCGTGGGTACAGAAGGGAGTCTAGGGCCCGTTTTTAAGGGCGGTGCCATGGTTATGGACCCCTCCTAGTTGCGCAACCGGGGAGAGGGTAATGATGTTCAATTAGGTAATAGGATCTTTTCCTGCTTTGCCATTTCTTCTTTGGGCACTGTTGCTGTGCCAATAGTTGTGATCTGGTTATTTATGTTATTGGGATTCTGTTTACAGTATTGTGTCCCTATTGTTGTTATATAGAGATTCATAGATGCTAGGATTGGAAGGGACCTCAACAGATTTTTGAGTCCGACTCCCTGCCCTGGGCAGGAAAGAATGCTGGGGTCAGATGATCCCAGCCAGATGGCTATCCAGCCTTTTCTTAAAGACCCCCAAGGTAGGGAAGAGCACCACTTCCCTTGGAAGCCCATTCCAAATTCTGGCTGCCCTTATTGTGAAGAAGTTCTTCCTGATATCCAGCCTAAATCTGCTCTCTGTCCCTTTCTGCTTCTGTGCTGCTGCGAGGGTCATTTCCCAGCCAATAGATGTGCTGGATATTTTTACACCCTTGGTGCAGCACTCTACATTTGTCCATATTGAACTGGATCCTATTGTGTTCCAACCTGTCCAGGTCCACCTGCAATCATTCCCTACCCTCTGGTGTGTTCACTCTGCCCCACAATTTAGTATCATCTGCAAACTTGGACAGAGTACACTTCACACCCACGTCCAAGTCTCTGATGAAAACATTGAAGAGCACAGGTCCAAGGACTGAGCCCTGCAGGACTCCATTGCCCACATCTTTCTAGGACCATATCGACCCGTCCACCACCACTGTTTGTGTGTGACCCCCGAGCCAATTTGCCACCCACCGGACCATGTAATCATCTAAGTCACAGCCTCTTAATTTATTTATGAGAATGGGATGAGATACCATATTGAAGGCCTTCCTAAAATCCAAGTAAATGACATGAACCTCTACTTCTGCATCTAAGCATTTTGTGACCTGGTCATAAAAAGAAACCAGATTAGTCAGGCACAATCTACCTGCTATGAATCCATGCTGGTTGCCCTGCTGCATTACTTTTCCCACTGGACGCTCACAAATATGAGGCCTAATAATTTTTTCAAAGACTTTTCCAAGGCTGGTGGTGAGACTAACTGACCTATAATTACTCAGATCCTCCTTCCTCCCCTTCTTCAAAATAGGGACCACATCGGCCCTTTTCCAGTCCTCTGGGACCTGACCCAAGCACCACGAGCACTCAAAGAGCCATGCCAGTGGTTTCCGGCCAATTTCTTCAGCACCCTCAGGTGCAGCTCATCCAGGCCTGCTGATTTAAACACAGCAAGCCCATCCAAGTAAGGCAACTGAGGCAAAAAAACTCATCGAAGAGCTCAG